GAAAATAAATAAATAAATAAATAAATAAATAAAATTATGGGGAAAAATAATAATAATAAAAAAAAAACCTCCACAAAATGTAAGTCAAATAAACCTTTCCTCCTTTCACTTTGGCTGTTGGGCAGTTGTCTCATCCATGAGAGAAAAAAAACTAAGACAGCATGTAATTAGTTGTAGCCACTAAATTGAGAAGGGAGTCTTCTGTGGGGTTCCATAAAGGCTTTCTCACCACTTTAGAGAGCCATGAAGGAAAGGAACGCCATCCCTCTTCCTGCACAGTAGGCGGTTGATTCTCAGTCATTGAGTCTACAGGTGACACCTGCACCTGAGCTGCCACACTGTGGCTCTGAAGTGAGCTAACCCACAGCTGGATTGGCATATGGAGGCCGGCACTGCTCAGCCCAGAGACTACCTGGGTTTAGGTGAGGCACAAAAGAGAGATCTCTGCAGCCACCTCCCTGAAGACTTCTCATTCCATGATAATACAATTTCGTAATTCCACTGCTTCATTCAACTGCTTTTGCTGTTGTTACTTATTGATGAAAAACATTTAATTAACATAAAAGATAAAAATTTTTCCTAGACTCTTTTAATTGCCCATAATTTGTCTGTCTCTCCCCTCTACCTAACTACTGAAACTGATTTTGTTCACAGAAACAATGTCTCTAGGCCAAGGCAACAGAGATTTAGCCAACAATGATTGCCCTGTTTTGTTTTACAGTAGCCCTGGCAATTAGAAATGGTCAACTGTCTCAGAGGCAAAATGTGTGGCAAGGGGCAGTTTCTGGGACATCTGGGCTTTCCTGATACTGAATATAGCCCAATTGAGATGGATCCTGATTCTTTCCTCATTTTTCCAACCTCAAATGCAGGGAAGAGCAGCCATTTAGTAACCAAGAGGAAATGCCAAGAAAATCAGAGATAAACCCTTAACACTGCTCAGTTACTGAATAAACACCAACAGATACATCTCACCTGTTAGAAACAAATCTTTCCTTGTTAAAGTCACTAGCATTTCAGTTTATCAGCTAAAATCTATGAACAAGTTTTTAAAAAGTGAGAACTAAATATCACAATCTTTTTTTTTAAGGGGCTGGGGAGATAGCTCAGTGGAATAAGCGTTTTTCTTGGCAAGTGCAAGGGTCTGAGTTCAATGCCCAGTTCCACAAAAAAAAAAAAAAAAAAAACTTTTAAAAATTCAAACCTAAGTAACTTTATCTGAATATAAGTAACTTAAATCTGTATCAGAACATCTGATTCTCAAAAACTTTGTTTTATATCTAGGCTACCTGTTACTCTGTTTTATCACAAGAAAACCAAATTCAGAGAAGCTTATTTTCTTGACAGACAATTCAACATAAAGCTAGAGCTAGAGCCAAAAGGTATTTTCATAAACATTATTCTATAATCCTTCTACTTACTACTGAGAAATCACACTTTTTCTATATTGTCATTGATTTTAAGAACAATTTTTGTACATGCTATATGAAGCTAATATCAAGATGACTTTTGAAAGGGAAATATAATAAATTTTGCTCTTTATCAGAGAAATTTTTTTTTCTTCTTAGTTTTTTTTAATTTTTTTTAATATATATAATTTTTTTTTTTGAGATAGGGTCTTATTTATTTATTTGTGTGTGTGTGTGGCCAGTTCAGCCCACCAGGGAGCCGGGCTGGCTGGCATGTGGTGCTGGAGGATTGAACCGCGGTCCCTGTGCTTTTGCTTAGCTTATCTTGTTCTAAGTAGGTGCTTTAGACCACTGAGCCATCTCACCAGCCCTATCAGAGAAATTTAATTTTACTAAGATTTTTTGCTTATATCTAATAAATAACCACGGTAGAGAATGAGAATTTCATACCATACTATGTGTGACCAAGCCAAATTAAGTATTTGTGTTTGTTAAGACAGAAATTACCATGGAGTGAAGTAGTAAATATAAATGATGCTATTAACTGCTCATCTTCACAACTATGATAGCTTGGTTACTTATGATCAACAGGACATATAATGTATTAAAGATCTTGTACTACATAATTTGATGTTTCTCAGATAAAAGTTGTTTTTGTAAGAGGGCTATTTTTTCTGAGCATGGTAATAATAAAGCTAGTTTTATAAGGCAAAATACCAAGAACCTACAGATTTCCTTCTGTGCTCATGCTTTAAAACAAAAATATAAAAAGCTATATGCTATTAAGCATGTTTCTTTCTGTGGGAGATGGGGGAATGGGGAGGGTGTCAGTCAGTCCCCTTTAAAAAAATAAAATAAAAACTTGATAAAATTACATTGTTGACAAATTTTACCTAAAAATCCTTTTGTAATCAGTACTCTTTGCAGTTTAAAATATTACTCTAATTAAATAAGTTAGGAAAAACTGAAGTGTAAACACAGTTCATCTGATCTTCAGAGTACCACAATGACTTGTTTTTGAGTTTCAACTCATGAACACACAGTAGTAAAATCGCCAAGCTATCATAAATAAGCTTTTAGTACTCTATGAATCAATCTCAGTATTTTGCACAGACAAGCACCATGTTTCTAGAATCTTTTCATAATAATGAAATGACTCCTATATATACTTTTTTATTGTGTTCTGTCTGTCCGTCCGTCTTATCTATGCAGACAGGGTCTTGCTATGTAGGTTAGACTGGCCTCAAACTCAATTATGTAGCCCAGGCTGGCTTTGAACTCTAAAGTGCTCTTCCTGCCTCAGCTTCTGGAGCACTAGGATTACAGGCATGTGATACCACACCCAGTTGTTCGCTTTATATACAGTACTTTATCTTAGTGAATCTTCACAAGCCCTGATGCTACACATCACAAGGCCTATGTGACAGCAGAGAAAACAGGTTGGAAGAGGCTGACATTTATGAAACACATGAAAATGTTGTATTATAATCAAGTTCAAAACCCATTTGGCGTGTTTTCACACTTTGCCTCTTTACTTATAAGCTGGGCCAGTACACTACACCTAAGTGTTCAGAAAAGGATAGCAACTAAAAGAAAGGATGAAAAGATGGGTGCTTTTAATACACAGACTTACTGAAATGAGCATGATTTACCTTGGACATGAGAAATGATGAACAGATAGACTCCCAGTAATCTGATATAAATATGGAGCTGAGTCATTGTTCAATTTTAATGTTCCATACACTGTCACTTTGAATAACTTTTATTTCACAAATTCAAATGATTTTACTGAATGAGATTTTCCTGTTGAGGCCACAATCACTTGACAATGACTCCACCTCTCACTGCTTCCTCTTGACTCCTGCAAGACAACAACATTAACAATGAACACAGCTGGATTTTGGAAAGTCTTCAAAGACTGAAAGAGAAAAACAAATATCCAAACATACCTTTAAACAATGAAATACTTTTTTTTGGGAGGGGGAGGAACTGGGGATTGAACTCAGTCCCTTGCGCTTGCCAGGGAAGCACTTATTCTACTGAGCCATGTCCCCGGCCCCATTTTTAAAAATCAAAGCTATTTTTGTTTAAAAAAGGAAGAGGTTCTGTAATTCCAACACTTAATTTAGTAACAGGTTACAGTCTTTCCTGATCTCAGATCAGCTACACATAAAACAACAGTAATACACTAATAATCCTGAAAGGCCAGTGCAGTGTCATGTACCCAGGTACTTAAAAGAGACTGAGGCAGCAGGATTGCCTGAGTACAGGAGTTGAGTATCAGCACGGGCATACAGCAATATCATCACTTCAAAGACAGACAGACACTGTACACACACAGACACACAGAGCCAAAAAAAAAAAGGAAAGAGAATCCCTTTGGAAGTTTTTTTCTGGTTGCTCTAAAATAATTAAGTTATTTTATTACTATCAAGAATGTCCCTTAATACAGGTAGAATGAAACAGGAAATGGTGGAATTTAAAATGTAAGTTATTAGCTGGATGTGGTGACACACTTGTAATTCCAGCATTTAGATGAAGATTCCAAGTTTGAGCCCAGCCTAGGCAATTTAGCAAGATTCTGTCTATAGTACAGATAAACATATAAACACACTGATTGATCTGGGGGTTATGGCTCACTGGTAGTGCATCCCATGTGATTTCTAATACTACCATGAAAAAAAGTTATTCATCAGCATCCATTCAAATTCTGGTGGATGTAATAGAAACACCTTGAATACAACTAACAATTTTCAGAAAAGAAAAGCAAACTAGAAAACTATACATATTTAAGTAAGTAACATCATTATAAAGGAAAAGATAAATAAAAATATGTCTTAAGTAAAATTAGTTTCCAAAAACTTCTAATCTGACCTAATTGGGATAAAATAGAGCTTTTAATGTGGAAGACATGAAACAGAAGTTTGCAATTAAGGTTTGGCTATCATTAATAATGGACAATGATCTTAAAGGCCTCAAAGTGAAACACCTGAATAGGTAATAGAAAAAGGAGGCTAGCTGTCACTAAGATGGGTATAATTCTGTTTTTCGCCCACTCTAGTTTTTCAAGCAGTTGGTTTTACTATCTCACCCTAAATTAGTCCTATACAGAAAAGGTTCTGCCTCTGTATGACACAATTACCTCCATGCATTTTCTAAAATAAACCTGAGCTTCCTACCCAAGAGCTTTTCACTTTATTAGCTCTCCAACAGTATTTACACTGTTTACAGAGAGGTGTGATTTATAAGTGTATTTTATACATAAAGCTTAGTTCTAAAATCTTAGCCATTTCTTCCTTCCCTACTAGAAAAAAAGTAAGAGGCTTCCTGTCACCACATAATGCTCAGAGGATGAGATGCAAAGTGCACAATAATTCCAGAGTGGGGCCAGCAATGTGACTTTGCTGCATGCCTGTGGAAAACTCACCTCTTGCAATAACTCACTTGTGATTCTAACAACGTTTGTTCCAGGTCTGGAATTCAAGGGGTGTTTTCAGTCACAACCTCTCCCCATATCTATTTCTCTGTTGCATGCCTCCTCCTCCAGGTACACCCTCCACCTGCAAGCCCAGTACAGGGCCTCTGCCCTGCTCCTGCACCTGCCAAACTGCCCTGTACACAGCAACTCCTCTCCAGTCACATTCCCTCCTTCACCACCCTTAGCTGCAGGGTGACTACTCAGTTTCTGCTTCAAGGAGCTTGGAGCCTGGGGCAGGAGAATAGATTCCACCTACACGCTGTCTTCTGGTGTCCTCCTTCCTTCATTCATTTACAGTTAATGTCTGGGCTTGGCTCTCACTACTTACCAAGGCATCCTACAGAGCAAGCTAAGTGCATGCCATACCCACTGCTCCTTCCAGAGAAGAGTCTCTGTGTCATTCCTTCCTGAAGGAAGTACAAATGCTAGAGCTGCCTCAAGTAAGTACCAGAACCTCTCTGGATGACTTTCCCCATCTTCATAGCCAGAATATATTTGTTAGTTCACAGTTACTTTGAGAACTAAGTGAGATATTCAACTCTATGTGCCAATTCCACAATAAACATTTTGCTAATATCATCTTACAAGAAAAGTACATTTTAATTTTACAGGTGAGGAAACAGGCAAGTAGACCTTAATCAGCTTACCAAATATCACATCAATAGTAATAGGGTTATAATTTAAAAGAAGTCTGATTCAAGACTCTAACAGCTAACTCACCATCCTGTTGGTAATTTACATACGTGTTATTTTTTTTTTAATTTTATTTATTTGGGGGGGTGCAGCTCAGCCCACCAGGGCGCGGGGCTGGCTGGCATGTGGTGCTGGGGGATTGAATCGCGGTCTCTGTGCTTTAGCTTAGCTTGTTCTAGGTGGGTGCTTTAGACCACTGAGCCAGCTCACCAGCCCTATATACGTGTTATGATACAAAACATACATGATAAAGTACTTAGGCATGTGTAGTACACTGTATGCTCAGTATAAGGTCTCTCTTCCCAAACTGTCACAAAGTTGCCAACCTGGCACACGGACCGCACCTGAAACAGTCATTAAATCTTAGCTCATTACAGATCCGCATTTACAACTGCTATGACACAAGCACAATCTTTCCAAGCATTGAAAGAAACATGCTGCTATAATCAAAAAGGTAAGCAGCTCACTTAATTCCATCTGGTGAGGTCTCTAGTGATGGTGTGCAAAGGACACCAAAACCAATCTCCTGGAGATGCACCTGAAAGAAACACAGCCTCAAGAGTAAAAACAAGCCAAGTTTGGAAGCATCTCTGTCAAAGATGTGACCCATCATGACAGTAAAGGAGCTTAGACTGGTTACACGACATAGGGTGGGTCTTTTTCCATGTTCAAATTCTGTGTGAACAGTGCTTTTGTCATCGAATATTTATTCCCTAATCATGAACTGTTTATTTATGCATAGTTTTATATCACATAACAAGAACACAGTGATGACAAAAAAAAACCCATACCCAGTCTTCATGGAATTCATAATCATTAAATGAGACTAGAGATGTTGACATCAGCTTGTGGTAGAAAAGTGCTATGTCATGCAGGGTGCTGCTCCACTTGGGGCGAGGAAACAATGCTGAGAAATGACATTTAAGTCAGCCAGGTAGAGAGTGAGGTGGGAGAACTCCAGGCATTAAGAAACAGCCTGTGCAAAGATCTTGAAGCTGAGAAAAGCAAAGTGAGAATGATGTTCTGAAATGTTAAGAACAAGGGATGGTGTGATGCAATCCAACCACCACCACCCTAGTCTGAGCAGAAGCCATTGCAGCCAAATCCCCACCCCAACTGCGCGCATTCCATGCTTTCACACCTGCTGCACATGCATCGTCATGGATCAGTAAGGCCCAGTAAGCACAGCTACACCCTGCAATTCCTCATCATTGTTCAGCCCTGCTCTTGACAAACTACATGCAACTCCTTGTATGTCCTCCAGCCCTGGCCTGGTCAGATAGCTACAACTCCACTGTGCTGAACTCACCCAGTTCCTAAAATCCCATTGTGACTTCTTCCTCCACTGCTGCCCTTTTTGGGCTCATGACCCTATAAAAAACTTAGAGCCTACACAAGAGTAACCAATCTGGTCTGTGATGCCACAGCAGTGCTTCAAGTTTGTTCTGAAACAAACCTGTTCTACTGAGTGCTTTCTTCTTTTCTTTTTTGTCCTAATGTAGTGTGGTGGAAGATGAGGCTGAAGAGACAGAAGAAGCATAGACAAGGTCCTAGGCAAGATGCTAGAAGGGTTGTGTGTTTAAACCTAAGTGGGGTGGGAGGCTATTATCTTGTTCCTATGTAATGGACCCGATTGTGTAGGCAACAGCAAAAGCAAACCAGCTGTAGAAATGAGAAGAAAGCTGTAGAAATTTAAAAAAGCAACTCTGGTAGCTAAGATTAGGGTGTAGGAGCTCTTTCCTATCATCCTAACAGAATGATATTCAATGCTAAGAACAAGGGATTAAAAAATAAAAATAAAAGAACAAGGGATAGTGTGAAGTAATCCAACCACCACCACCCTGGTCTCAAGACTCAATGATACCATGTAATGAGTTAGATGTAGATATCAAGGAGAGTGAGGGGGTCAAAGAAGAATTCCGCAGTTCTGGAAGTGAGCAATTACTAAAATGGGAAGATGGGGGTTTTCAAAAGGTGGAAGAGGAGAGATCACAAGTTCAAATTTGGGTATCTGAGATTACCCAAAAGGAATACTAATTGGTTTTTTGTTCCAAAATTAAAAGAAACACCTGGGCCAAAGATACAAACTTGTTATAGCAACAGCACAGAGTATTCAAAGCTAAGTATCTGATGGCCTAGCCTTCCCAAAAAAGGCTCCAGAACACAATTCAGTTAAAAAATCACACTAACAGGGCTTTAGCATCACATATATTTGTGAGATAATTAATGGATAAAATACATTTATAGTTCAGATCCACCATGCTCATTATTGCAGTTTATATTAACACAGCTGGGAAATACACTACCATTCAAGGGATTCTTTTTCACTAAAATAAAACAAAACAAGCACAAAGATCATTGTGATAACCTACAGGATGTCCACAGATGCTTTGGCATGATCTTCAAAAGGTGGTGCTGGGGCCAGGGAGTTAGCTCAGTATTAGAATAAGCGCTTGCCTGGCAAGCACAAGGGCCTGAGTTCAATCCCCAGTTCCGCAAAAAAAAAAAAAAAAAGAAAAGAAAAAGAAAAAAAAAAAGGGTGGTGCTAAGTCTTTTGATGAGCACTAGGCTCAGAGGCTCACTTCTAACAAATGAAATAGGATAGGAACAATAGAGCAACTTTGACTTCTGTGACTAACTCACAAAAGGCACTGTTTCCACCTTGCTCTCTTCACCCTCTCTCTCAAGGG